GACAATTAGCAGTATTTGTCAACTCCCTGAACTGTAAATGTGTCATATCCCTGATGGGTTCTTTCCACTTGCAAATGCTGTTCCTCTTTGCTACTGCAGACTGTCTGAGTTGGCATATGCTGTCACGATCTTGGAGACACTTCTTTCCATTGGACATGTTACATTTGTATTTTTTTTTTTACTGATATTCCTGCAGTTAGAGCGCACATAATCTAGCCTCTTTAGAGCTCAGTTACAGTAGTTGTTTAATGTTGCTTTCAGAAGACATCAAACTACGGACAACACTTACTGGCATTCCACCTTAAACTGTCCAGCCCTGTAGCAGTGTTTGACGTTTTAATTAAGCTTTTCCACAGTCTAATTTAATCTAGTGTTTAAAGAAAAATATAACCCGGTATAAAGGAGAGCCTGTGACCCGTTGGTGCTGATGCTGCTACTTTGTTTCTTCTTTCATGACTATGGGAGGATAGGGGTCATGCAGGATTGATTTATTCTTGGTCCTCATCCTTCTCTCAGAAACTACCTCTAAACAATCTGGACTCAGGCCTACAACAGAGCTGGCGTTCTTGACCGGCTTATTGAGCAATTTACCTTTACCAACCTTGATGCCTCCTGTTTAGCACGTCATAAAGAAGAGTGCTCCGGCTACTGAGTGTCCTGTGTTAAGGTTTTGATCACATTGAAGGGCATGAGCCTGCTGTCTGCTTTATACTTTCTTTCTGTGCTCTTTATATAATGCAGAGGATAATAAAGGATAATAAATTGGAGCAGTCAAGTTGTAAAAATACATTATATGGGAAAAAACGAATTGTTCGCCATGAAGTTGACGATCACTTCAGACTAATCGTTCATACATTGAAACTTTGAAAGTATATATTTTTTTAAGTATTTTCCTTTTGGTTCTCTGTGAGCTGAAGCACTTGACAGAGGGATAGAATTCAAGTGTGTCCCATATTGCTTATTTCTCGTTTAAAATCTGCCTAACGCTGACCACTGTCTTTATTTCACTTCTCACATCTAGCTCTTGCTAACCCTATTATTTATATTTTTGGTTGGAAAATATGGCCTGAAGTCTCCAACTTCAGACTCTGCTACCACCCTAAGCCATAGATAGCTGGGCTTCATCAACCCCTGCTGAGTCTGTTTTTTACTTAATTTGCAAAACTGATGGTGGACTTATTTCTTGGTGATCAAAGAATTCAAAAGAAATGTAGAATTTAACCAACAGTTATATATTTCTACTTTAGCTTAGAGTGTGGGTTATTCAAAGGTAGTCACTGTCATCATTATTCTAATTAAGGTCACGGCATGCAGAGATGGGGTGCTCCTTCTGAAGTCTACCAATGGGATTGCCAAAGCTATAAGAGTGCACATCCCTGGAGTTCACCTGGGGTGATAGTCAGGGTATTGGATTTGGCTTTTCCCTAGCCCCATTTGCGCTATCCTACCTATCAAGGAGCTGCTGATCCCATGGCAGGCATGGTGAGTTGGGAGAGATTAGTGTGAAGCAGTTCATGGATCAAAGGGGTGAACGCTGGGCTTCAGTCCACCACCAGGCGGGATCCTTCCATATCTGGTCTGTGTAGGAGGTGAATTGCAGAGGATACAGTATGGTCTGTAATGTGATTCAGGTGAGGCCACACAAGACTGCCATAGGGTTTTTAGACCATTGAGGTCACAGGGACAGGCTTGTAGTCATTAAGGAGTTGAATGTGTTTTCCATGGATAGGATTATAATGGTTGAAAGGAACAAATTAGAGCAGCCATTATTGTGTCAATGCTCTAAAAAACAAGTTTGCCACAAGTACACTATAATTTGTGTTGTCTCACTAGACAGACCCTCAAATTTAACAGCAGAACTGTATGCGTTTGCCTGAATCAAAACAAGAATCAATCAACATTTAAAGGAATTCTATAGAGGCATTGCAACAACAATTGTTATAACTGTAAATTGCACTAAAAGCTCTCATTGAAATGTAAATGAAATGGATAATAAAAAACAAAGGTCTTTCCATTATGCAACACAACACTATCTGTTTTCTGTCATTGACTGCATTGTATGTAAGCTCAAACTGCTCACTTTAACTGTCCTGAATTCAACTGAAAAAGCAAACATTTTTTAATATAATTAACAAGAATGGTATTTAGCAACACTGGATTGAAAAATAAGTTATTAGAAAGTTCCAAGATCACACAGTTTCTAGACTTGATCTCCACAGCAACAGACACAATGACACAATCAAGGGGATAATCCAATTCAGTTTTCTTTGAGGAGTATGCATTTTTTTATATCATACATTTTTTCAAGAATTTGTCAATCAATGTGTTACAAATGCTTTCATACCATTATTCTGATTCAGTTGTATCCATCAAAAAACTGTTTATTGGGGTCCTATGGGACAGCCTCAGCTGTTTTAATAGATTTTACTATTTAGTAAGTTCCCATTTGCCATTTGTTTTAATTTAAAAAAACACAGTATCAATTGGTTAGGGTCACTCAGTCACTTGTTTTGAAGAAAAAGACACAATGCAGAAGACACACATTTCTTCATATGCTCTGTCTATTTTAATTTTGCAGAGATATGCAAATAAACTGCAACTTTTCTAAATTATTAAACTGCAGTTTTCAGATGACAATTAATAACACAACTAATAATGTTTTGTGAAGAAATACATTTAGCTGATTGTTTCCTAATTCTTACCCGGTTGTAGTCCTTACAGTATGTAGGATGAGGTTTAAAGCTTGATCAAAGGATAATACATTATGATTTGTTGTCAAAGACTTAAACAGACTGACTTTAAACAAACAAGTATTGCCTGTATATTCGAAGCCTGACATATTTTACGTCTGTTACATATCCACAATGTTAGACCTTAAAGAGCCTGCAGAATGAGCACAACATGTCTTGAGGATATCTGGCAAGCTTGATCTCTCATACTTCACTTGAATAACAGTTGCCGTTGCCAAATGCTATCAAATATGTATGTCAAGATTGTCATCCTTTTTTTCCAAAGTTTCCCTATAGACCATGTGTTGAAGCTGTGATCCTCTTTTGTGATGGCACAAACAGATTAGGCCTTTAGGCAATAGCGGATGTCAACCCAGGTTATGTGTCTACAAAGAACATCCTTACTTTAGAGCACAAAGGCTTACATGCAGTGACACACACGCAAGCACACACACATTTAGCACTTTTCATTTAATATTCAAATTAAACTGTAGTTCATTTGCTGATGAAAGAGGATTCATGCTCAATTATATCTTAATGGCTTGGATATAACAGCGTGTTCAGGCCAACAGATTTATTTTAGATGTTTTTCATTAGGTCAAATCTGATTTAAGTGTTCCGAAATCACCTGAAAAGTAAACCAAGCTACACACATGCAAAAACATCTTTCTATAAAACTGTCTTTTTCACCGATTTAATATTCACATGCATGCTAATAAGCGCACGCACACACACACACCCCACAGGGCAAATCCCGATTGATATCGAGGGAAATAAAAGCGCGCGCGGGTCGAACGACAGAGGGCGTGGGTGCGCTTGGAGCGGACGCGTGCCGATTCCTCTAGAATGCTAAACATATCGGCCCATAAACACACACGCCGGCACGAACTAACACACACACAACTTTCTCCTGGTGCAGCTAAGAGAGTGAGAGATGGAAAAGGAAGAGAGTCTGAGAGAAACATAAGGGAAAAGTCAACGAGAGACAGAGAGGGAAAGGGGGGTGGCCGTGTTGGAAAGAAGAGAGAGAGAGAGAGACATATTTGTGACCTCTCTCTGCAGTTAGTCTGTCTTTGTTTACTCACTGACAGCCAACTGTTCACTAATAGCTTGTAGACACAACAGAACTCTCTCTCGGTCAATAACATTATGGTGGGGGAACTCCCTGCTTTCTAGCCAGGCAGGGCGGCACAGTTGGTCCTGAGTGGAAATTAGAAATGCAGAGGCGGTCTAACAGAGCGGCAGCGTGGAAGCCCCGGTAGTGTTCAATAGCAGCAGACCGATGCTGCATTGCGCTGCTCACCGAGCAGGTCGGTCCTCTGAGAGACAACATCCTCAGTGAGTGTGTAGCCTGTGAGCTGGAGAATACTGCCAACAAAGAAACAGAAAGCATGCCTCATCCCTCTAAAAAAATACATATTTAAATGTATAGGAGCAAATATACTTACTACACATAATATAGGCCTACTACACATATACATACTTTAATTAGACTACTTTTTATTTGTATGCATTATTTATGTATTTATCACAACATTTCTTGCAGTAGAGGAGTATGGCTACCATTAGGCTATAGTCCATTATAGTGCACCAGTAGTCTACAGTATAAATTACTGTACTTTCTCATTATGTGTGTGTGAAAATATATGTCTCTTTCAAAAAAAGAATGAATGAGTGCTTTTACACTTGCCCCAGCAAAAGAGCTGCAACAGCAGAAATATGACTTAGCACTGAGCTGACTTGTATTAGAGCGAGATCACTCTCTTTTATTCCCGTCTCTCTTTGTCCTATGTATGAATGTGTGAATAAAGACATTTTCCCACCAGGAGCTGTCAGCAGCCGGGACACCAAGCCATTTAATCTTCCTATATGACAGGGGGAGGTGAGGTCTGTCCTCGGTAACCGACATACACACACGGCGACCCAACACCGCCTCTGCTGCCTCTCCCGTTACAGCTCAGCGATCGAGTTACGCGGCCGGGGAAAATGTTGCAGTAGCAGGAAGGGAGAGAGAGAGAGAGAGAGAGAGAGAGAGAGAGAGAGAGAGAGAGAGAGAGAGAGAGAGGAGAGAGAGAGAGAGACTAAGTAGAGATGAGAATCGAGAGATAATCTCTAGAAGATGTCTAGCTCTCTATATCTCTAGTGCTCGACGATCTAGTCAGCTTCTATCGAGTATGAGTCTCTAGAGACGCTATAGACTCTCCTCACTCGCTTGAGACCGGCAGCAGCAGCAGTCCCAAGCAGTGCAGGTGAGAGAAAAAAAAGCCAGAGGAGGAGGAGGCGCATGTGGAGGAGAGAGAGAGAATGCGGGACTCTTGGAAAAAGACGCATCTACTCTTGGTCCATCACGAGACATCCATCCCGGACACAAACTGCATGGATTAAGCTTAATTGGGGATGATGTTGGAATCTCAATTTTAGCCCTTCTAAAGAGGCTCTCCCTTTCAGTTTTATACGGAAAAACAACAATGAGAAACTCGCTCTGAAGCACTCTTGTCTTCATCATAACTTGCGTGAAGGAATCCGACTGCTTGGCACGTTGCTCCACTGCGGGGAAAAGAGGAAAACGCAGCTGGATCTGAAGGTAAGAGGAGATCCAGTAACAGCATCCCAAAGACTTTTCTCAAACTGATTTCAATTCCTCTTTTGCGGATGCGAGTTAATTTTCCTCGGCGTCCGGTGAGCTGAGCAGTGTTTTTTTTTTTCCTTTTGTGTGGTGCTGCATTGCAGTTTCTAACTGTGAAAACCGCGAGAAAAGCTGCTGTCCCAAATGTGACTGGAATAAAATAATTTACAAGAGGCATAATGAACTGATAAGCGACCTCGTCTGATCTCCGGTTTTACGGGAAAGAAAGACTGAAGTGGATTATTTAAAGGCTGATGAATTAGTTGTTTCTATTTCGCAGCAGCATGGATTTTTTTTTGACATCTCTGTGGCGTGAACAGCCCAGCAAGACATCGAGAGTATTATTATAGAAGTTTAAAAAGCCCTGCTGGGTAATAAGAGGAGGATAAAAGAAAGGAGCCTTAAGTGTGAGAGTGCGGAAGCTTTTCCCCGGACCTCAGGCGGCTGTCCGCAGAGAGCGGCAGGGGAAGGTAAGAAAGGATAAATCAAACACCCACGCTGTGAACTACACCAGACCACAAAACAGCATTAAAGAAAAAACAAGCGGCAGCTCAGAGGCAGACAGTGGGAAGGAGAGATGCGAGAGAAGGAAGGCGCCATGCAGAGGCTTGGTGCAGTGCACTCCTCCGCGGCGCAGGCTCTCAGCCTCGTGGTGTTAGTGCTGCAGCTGCTGACTCAGCTACCGGGTGCCGACTCAGCTCTCCGGTACCGAGTAGCGGAGGAGGGCCCACCTGACGTCAAGATTGGCAACGTGGCCGCCGACCTGGGGCTCACAGCAGGTACAGGAAGCGGGGACGTCACCTTCGCCTTGGAGAGTGGCTCAGAGTTTTTTAGGATTGATAATGTGACAGGTGAGCTGACAACTGGCCAAAAGCGCATCGACAGAGAGAAGCTCCCACAGTGCCAGATGATATTTGATGAAAATGAGTGTTTCTTGGACTTTGAGGTGTCAGTTATTGGACCACTGCAGAGCTGGGTAGACCTGTTTGAAGGTCGTGTTGTCATAACAGACATCAATGACAACACACCTTCTTTCCCCTCACCTGTTCTCCAGCTCTCAGTTGAGGAGAATCGCCCCATAGGAACTCTTTACCTGCTGCCCACAGCAACAGACAGGGATTTTGGCCGAAATGGAATTGACCGGTATGAGCTGATTCAAGATGGTGCTGCTGGGTCAAGTTCAACAAGACGCACAGCAGGAGGAAACCCCATTGCGAGAGTGGATGGAGGTGGCGACCGGAGGGGTAGAAGTGGAGATAATGGAGGAGGACCCCGGAGCACTGTGTTTGAACTACAAGTTGCAGACATACCAGATGGGGAAAAACAACCACAGCTAATTGTGAAAGGCACTTTGGATCGTGAGCAGAAAGACTCATATGAGCTCATCCTCAGGGTTCGAGATGGTGGAAACCCACCACGTTCCTCCCAAGCCCTACTTCGTGTGTCCATCAGTGATGTGAATGACAACAGCCCACAGTTTGAGAGGTCCACATATGAGGCAGAAATGGCAGAAAACGCTCCTCCAGGTACACCTGTCCTTCAGGTCAGAGCTTCAGACCGCGACATTGGAGTCAATGGGCAAGTTGAGTATGTCTTTGGAGCGGCCACTGAATCCGTCAGGCGACTCCTTCGGCTGGACGAGGCCACTGGATGGCTGAGCGTCCTTCACAGGATTGACAGGGAAGATGTGTCTCAACTGAGGTTCACAGTAACAGCCAGAGACCGAGGTCAGCCACCCCGCACTGACCGCACCACTGTGATCTTGGCTGTCCGGGACGAAAATGACAATGTCCCAGTGGTGGAGATCCGAAAGATTGGACGGATCCCTGTTAGAGATGGAGCAGCGTTAGTTCCAGAGAACGTTCTGGTGGACACACCAGTAGCTTTGGTACAGGTGTCAGACCGAGACCAGGGAGAGAATGGAGCTGTGACGTGCACAGTCGTAGGAGACGTCCCATTCACATTGAAGCCAGCTGGTGAAACAGCACTCCCACCCATGCCTGCAGATGAATCCTTTGACAGGTAAGCCAAAACAAAGGTAACCCCTTACAGAAGGTTAGAGAAAGCCATTCCAAAGAATTTAATAAAAACAGACTGCTAGATACTGTAGAAATAAACCAGTCAATGTCATTTGGTTAAAATGATGCACTTCTTCTCTCCAGGGAGTACAATAATGGTCAGGAATCATAAAGTAGTCATGAAGTAATGATGCATTTTATATACAGCTTAGTATATTGAATAACCTGAGGGGGGACAATAACAACTAAATCACATTTGTATAATTATGTGCCATTAAGCACCAGATTCACATATACTAGAAATAATTAATTTAAAACTGGTTATTATTCATTAAGAAAAATACATAATGATTAGACACAGGTTCATTAACATGTCATTTAGAAATGTGTCATTTGGTTATCTAACACACAGTCATTTATTCAGAGTTATTCAAGATCTATACATTGATTTGAAGATAGTTCCTGACTAATTTCTAAGACATTTCCCTGTGAAGTATTCATTTATGTTTTACTAAATTTAAAACCTAATCATTTATATAAAGTATGTATATACATATATATTTTAAATCAGCGATGTTTTTATTCCATAGGTTTTTTTAAGCTAAACAGCTGCTATAAGAATCCCCACACGTCTATTTAGGGAAGAAAAACTATAATTTCTATTTTCCACAGAGGATTTAGAGAAGAGTGAAGTGTTGTTTCATGCAGATGTTTTCAAGTACTGCCTCTCATTTACAAAGTCTATAGAGTAGTTTGAATGTGATACAATCGGTTAAGTTTGAGCATTCATTGAAGTCAAGGGTTTTAGACTTTCAGTAATACTATTACTGCAGTGCTGCTAATGTCAATGCTCTTCAGTCAATTGCAAATATATTTTCTAGAGCTATTGAATGAAGGGAAAGAGGGATATACTGTAGGGAAGGCCATTTCAGAATAACACTGCTATTCTTTATGACACCTATAAGGCTGGTTGTTGAGTTGACTGTAGGGTTGTCCTTCTCTGAGACAAAGTAATAATCATGAGAGGTCTTCAGCAAATCGATTAGTGGATTTAATTAAAGAATCAGTCACAGTTTCTCTAGAAATATTGTGTCTTTGCAGGTAACTGCAGCCTTGGAGAAGGGTCTCTTAAAATGAAGTGTTTTAAAGACCAAAGCATAGTAGAGCTGAAATGATTAGATGATTTATTAATTAATTAATTAACAGAAAATATCTATATCGACTATTTTGACAATCAAACATTTCAGTTTTAAAAAATATTTTAGGATGTCACCTTGGCTTCTGTGTGATTAAAACTGGGTATTTTTAAGATTTGCTCACATTTTGTTAACATTTAATTAAAAATAAAATCACAATGAAAAAAACATCACAATAGCAACTGGCACAATAATTGGTGGATGATAAATACAGTATGTTAATTGCCTTAAAAGGGAAGAGCACTATTATTTTTGTTTGGCTACTTTGAAATCAAGATCTGTGTTATTTTTTTGTCGAGCATAGCAAGCACATTCATGACATTTGTTTTTTGATCATTTCCACAGGAATAAGAAAAAATACTTCTTACATACTTCTGCCTTGCTGGACTATGAGGCCACCAAAGAGTACAGTGTTACCATTGTGGCAGTAGATTCTGGCAGCCCCAGTCTGTCAAGCAACAGTTCACTGATGGTGCGTGTAGTAGATATCAATGACCATGCCCCCATCTTTGCCCAGAGCGTTGTGGAAGTCCACTTTGCTGAGAACAACTCACCTGGTGAAAGAGTAGTCACAGTGTTAGCCTCAGATGCAGACAGCGGCAAGAATGCTGAGATGGCATACTCCCTGGACCCTGCTGGTAACGGGCAATTTTACATAGATGCAAATAATGGAGATATCCGTGCCACAGGGGTTCTTGACCGTGAGGAGCGAGAGAGGTATGAACTTCGAGTGATTGCCAAGGACAAGGGTACACCTTCACTGCAAGGCTCCGCAACAGTTGTTGTTCAGGTGACCGACCGCAACGACAATGCTCCAAAGTTTGTTCAGGAAATCTTTATATTCTACGTGAAAGAGAATCTGCTTGCCAACAGCCCGGTTGGCATGGTCACCGTGACAGATGCTGATGAAGGCGAGAACGCAGAACTTAGTCTGTTTGTAGAAATGGATGGAGTTGATGAGAAGAAGTCAGTGGAGAAGGTGGAAGGAGAAGATAGTGAGAAAGAGCAGGAAGACATGTTTTCCATTGACAACAACACAGGAACTATCTTTTCTTCTGCATCGTTTGACCGTGAAACGCTTTCCTCCTACACCTTCCGTGTCCGGGCTGTGGATGGAGGTGAGCCCCGGAAAACTGCCACCGCCACTGTCTCGCTCTTTGTGACAGATGAAAATGACAACGCCCCCTCAATCACCTCTCCATCCAATGAGTCCTACACTCTCCTTCCACCCGCCAGCAGTGCCCGTACCATAGTCAGGACTGTAACTGCCATAGACTCAGACACTGGCCCAAATGCAGACCTTCACTATGATCTGGTGGGGGGAAATCCCTTCCGACTGTTTGAGATTGGCCACACTAATGGAGTGATTACACTGGCAGAACCTCTGGAGCGGCGCCACAGAGGTCTGCACCGCCTGGTGATCCGGGTCAATGATAGTGGAGCGCCCTCCCTCTGTGCCACCGCCCTGGTTCATGTCTTCATCAACGAGAGCTTGGCCAACGCAACCCTTGTGGATGCACAGGTAATTTTCAAATATATATCTATCAAACTGATTTCAGTAACAGCAAGTAAAGTATATCATAATACACTGAAAACACAGTGGATGAGGTAATCAAATCTACTCTGCTATTTTGGTGTGTGCAGACTACTATTGTTCCACTGAGTTGATAATGATAGCTCATAATGACAGTGATGATATTGTCCAATAATGGCCACTCTGATAACACATTACAAAGGAAAAATGCAACTGATTGTTGCTGCTTGAACTAAACTGGTAAGAAGATTATTTTCTTGATAGAATGAGATAAATGCACAATTTCTGCAGTATTCATAGTGTTGCAATTTTCTGCCCATTTTTGAGGAAATAATTGTGTCTATATTTGTCCCAGATAAAGAAGCCCATTTCTCTTTTGAAGGCTATTGGCAATGCCTGCTTCTTTGTAGTTTGAATGTTCTTTGTCCAGAATGCATTCTTATAATGACTATGTGGTTAAAGTAACTGTTATTACTGAAGTGGTTCTTATTTTATGGTACATTGAACTCAGAGCTG